TTCCGGATTCAAGTTTCAAAATATTGAAAAAATTTCCAAGTTCTTAAATCAAATTATTTCCAATAAGTGATGGGTTAAACTCCCAATTGGTCTTTCTTTAGCAAATTAAAAAAAAATGTTTTGTTTTAGAAAATACAAATTATACGAATTATATCCGTTTTTCTTTTATCGGATCAGAATCCGCACCAAAATGGAAAACATAATAACTACTGTCGTTTACAAAATCATGGATCGAAGGATGCTGGGGCGGATCCCCTCCCTCCATTCCTTATCCCGTGAAGTATTTATGCCCCTGACTTTTTCATTTTTCCCCTTTTCTTGTTAACTTAACAATTCTTTTATCTTTTTTTTACTTTTTCTGCCTTGCAATTATAATATTTATATTGTATGTTTAGTGATGAAGTGGTGAAGGAGACACTAGCTCGTCTTAACTCTAAATCCCGTGATCTGTTCCGACCATGTGTTCAACAAGTTAGAGACTTTCTTTCCCAGGAACCATTTAGAGAATTCAGGTATTATGTTTTTTGTTATAATGTAACGGGGGGATGTTTGGTACTTCAGATAAATTATCAGCTGCTAGGTAGCTAGCATCCAGGTGGATAAATGGTTAATTCAGGGGGCGAAACGTCATGTGTGTGTGTGTGTGTCTGTACCAAAAGAGTGTGCATGTGTAATAAGGAACCGAATAGATGTACTGTCGGTGTATACAGTAAAGAAGAATCTCGGTATTTGTACAGTCTAGGAGAGTTCATTTGTTTATTGTTAATTGTTTACTTAAAAATAAGTTTAATATACATGTAGAATATTATTTATATATTTAAGTCAACACTATAAGCCAAATTTTTATGCAAAGAATATAATTTGATTAAAGTTTACAATAAATATAGTCGTTATTCAAGCTTAAATAAAATTGACAACATTGTTCTGCAATTTTCTTGACTGTAATCATGGTGTGTGTCTGTACCAAAAGAGTGTGTGTAAAGTTTACCGTACTGGTCTGCAAAGCAGTGCGACTGGTTTTCTCATGCCAGACCAGCGCCATTTCCTTTCCCTTTATTCCTATTCCCTGGGTTAATTGCTTGTTGGAAGAGTTGTCGGGTAGCTAGGTGGTTTTGTTACTGGATGGCTAGATAGCTGTGTGTTCAGGTAGTTTCGTGGTGAGATATCCAGGTGGTTCATTAGCTAGGTGGTCAGGATAAATAACAAGGTGCCCAGATACCGAAGTGTTCATATGGTAAGACGGTCAATTGATGTAGGTCAGGTTGCGGGATTAAGGTATCGAAAGCTACTTGAAAACATGAAACTCAAATTTCCTCAAATTAATTCTGGAATATATCCTGGGGTTAAAGGATGTTAACGTATTTTGTTAAGTATTTCAATGTTTTTTGTTAAGGATATCAATGTATTTTGTTTCAGATGTCAATGTATTTTGTTTAGGATGTTAATGTATATTGTTCAGGATTTCGGTATGTTCAGGATGTCAATACATTTTTTTAGGATGTCAATGTATTTTGTTAAGAATATGAATGTATTTTGTTAAGGATGTCATTCTATTTTGTTTAGGATGTCATTGTATTTTGTTAAGGATGTCCGTGAATTTTTTTTAGGATGTCAATGTTTTTTCTTTAGGATGTCAACGTATTTTGTTTAGGATGTCAAACCCCCCCCCAGCGTATCCTGGTTTTCAAGTACCCCAGCAGGGATAGGGTTAAGAGGGAGATACTTTTTTTGTGATAATTTTAAAAATTCTGTTGTGATTATCTAATCAACATATTAATCTGATTTTTATTGAAAGTTTATAAAAAAAAAGTACCCGATTTGTTGTCTCAATTTGATTTAAGTGTTTCCCCTCTTTAATTTTGTTTAGGAAACAAAAAAAACATTTAAAATTTTTATCATGCATAAAATTTAGAGTTTTACGGCTCTCATAAACTTAATATGCAATTCAGAACTACAAGTACTCATATGATATGTAATGTAGATTTATACTTAGCTATTAAACATGAATTATTAAAGGGTGAATTAAAAATATTTTTCTGTTTGGGGCTTTAAAAGGATTTTTAACGTAATTTGAAGTGACCATCCATCGAGAGTGCCATCCACGATTCTCAACGATATCCTCTTATCTTTGTTTTGCACTCATTGATCGATTTTTTTTCTGGCAGAAAAATCTTATGCTTATCACATTCTTTGGTTATTTCTTATTTTATGTGCCATGGAACCCCCCGCCCCCTCTAAGTGCAAACTCCCGGGCTATTTAAACTCTTATTCTTTTTTATCCTAACTTTTAATAACGTTAAGGTAACAATACCCTTTCAGAGATTAAATTGTATTTAATTGTTCTATTTTAAACTATTATGTGTTAAAACAAGAATGAAATATAAGAATGTATTACAGAACTTAAAAACCTGTTATTGGGAAATATATTCATCTTAAAGAGTCTGTATTCGAAAGATAAAAGTATTTTTCTTGAAACAATAGTCACAAAATGTCGTATTCCTGGCATTTCCAAAATTTGGTTTGCTAGGCAGGGACGATAAGAGCATTTTAACAAATAAATACAAAAAAATTTAATTTAAACAAAGCTTCTTTTCTCTTTGATAATAATAAAAATAAAGCTTAGAAATCCTTTTAAGCAGATATTCAAATTTTGTAAAAAATGTAAATTAGTTACAAGGTCGCAAAGCTGTACCATAGCCAAAATCACAGAGAACAATCAAACTTTTTCCTACTAAAATCACTAGTTCACAGTTTTTTATTAGTTATTTGTAATAGTTGTCTTCCTACCTGACTGTTAAGCTGTACACTTACAACTGTTTAATGTTTACTAATAAATGACAGAAGAAGATTATGGCCTAACCTATAATACAATAATATAGATATAATAAATATGCAGTACAGTCTTTGTTTACTTGTAGTTCCTGACCTAATCATTAGTAAAGGACTAGTGCACAATATCACTCTATAAATGATAACCTCGTTAATTAACCCTTAATGTATTACAGGAAAAGGAGGTTTTGGTGAGGTGTGCGCGTGTCAAACCCGGTCATCTGGTAAGATGTACGCGTGTAAGAAACTTGAGAAGAAAAGGATAAAGAAGAGAAGAGGGGAAACAATGGTGATCACAGAGAAACAGATTCTTCAGAAGGTAATCCATTGTCCAGTGTACAAAAAGATTCCGTGTACCGTACGGCTAAATGCGCGTTGAACTTGTACAAATAAGCAGATTAGCAAGCTAATTTTGATTAGTTAATAGCACGAAAATATAAAAAGCTGCACTATTTTTCATTTCCGATGTATTTGAAAGAAAAAATTGATTTTATTCGGTTTTCAAAGACTTTACATATTTTGCATGAGAGATACTAGTTTTTATCAAAAAATGGTTCTTCCTAGAATACTTTTAATAAACACAGTTCTTGTTTGCACATTGTTTAAACAAGTAGATTTTCCCTTACTTCGGAGTAAAGTAAACAAAGAGGGACTAACGTCACTGTCGTCAATTGTTTACTTACAAACCTGTTATATAACACGTTATTTAACGTTTCTTTTTACCTGAGAATTCTTTTATGTAACCAATCCATTCCAATTTTATAGTTGAATTCATTTTTAGATATAAGAAATACTTAATATTATATTTATTTTAAGGAGTTTTCATTTATTATTTGGTTCAGAAGTTACAATTTGTTCTGATTAGATATCTTTATAAACGTGAATCCTGACAGAATTCTTGAGAATTTTAGAATAATATTTTTCCATTTCAATTAATGATGTTTCAATTAAATTATTCTTGAAATATCTTTTATTAATTCTTTTTCAGATTATATTCCAAATTATGTAGTTTCTTGGTTCCCGGAGAAATGGAATATTATTTTTTTTTCAAATTAAAGATTTTTAAATCTGGCAAAAAGATAAGGGTGGGGTGTCAAATCAGCCCCCCCCCCCTCGTCCCATCACAGTACCTAGATGTAATATCTAAAGGCAAAAATAGCCCAACAACTGGAATTGATGTAAGGTATTTTCCCAAGCGACCACTTCCCAAGATTATTTTCCAAAGTGACAAAAATGTGCAATTTCCCAAGCGGCAACATCTCAAGTCTATCATATCCGCAGCGCTTGGCCTCCTTTCAAGCTTTTGTTCTATCATAATCTTTAAGAAGTTGCCTTTTGGGAAATTGCACATTTGGGAAATTGTCACTTGGGAAATTTTGACTTGGGAATTTGTCACTTGAAAGTCGCACTTGGGAACATTCCTTTTGAGAAATACCTATTGTTCTTTTAAAGTAACGACGTTTCATTTTCAGATTAAATTGTAGAAGACTAGAAAATGATATAATATTACAAAATGTCCTTTAACAAATGTAATAGAATACCAAAATTATAATTTTAAAAGATTTTGATATTTTTAGGTGAACTCTAGATTTGTTGTAAATTTGGCGTATGCTTTCGAGATGAAGGATGCTCTTTGTTTAGGTAATTTAATCTACACTATTTTTTATTTTTTTAGGGTTGCACAAAATCTGGTGAGATATATTCAAGGGTGTACATTTCCTTGAAAAATCAATCCCCCCTTTTTAATGTTTATTTTATAGGGGTTTATTCCCTGAAATGAGAAAATTATTTATATTTAGGGAAAAATATGTAAATTTTGTTGGGAAAAAACTTTCTTTCTGATTTCCAATTTTCATTTTTTCCTCGGGGGGGGGGTTAGTTAATTCTTCAATTGCCCCTGAAAATAAATGTTTTTTGGGGGTAGAAGCAGATGAAATTTTTGGGCTAAAGAAATATAAAAATAAAGGGAAACCAAAGTTTTCATTATACCCCCACCCCCACTATTACGATCTATATTACCCTCCCCTTAAAACGGATATAAGTAGTTTTTAAATTTTTATTTTAAAAACTTTTTTTCTAGAGTAAAATATACCAAAATTAGATTAATGTGTAATTAATTTATTTATTGTCAAGTTAATTCAATTAATTAGTTTATTGGTTACAAATACACTCAGCTCTTGTACTTTAATTAACTTTTCTTTATCTTCTATTGAGAAAAATATATAAATGAATAAAAAAAAAATTTTCATGATTGCCAAAATTTTATTTAATTTCTACAAATTAAAATATCGTCTTGAGATATGGGAAAACGCATTTGCACGCTCATTCTTAAAATCAATTTGTTTATGAGAATATAGGACAAGAACACACCGACAGACAGACGGACAAACAGAGATGACTACATCTTTCTTTATAATAAAACGAGACATTTATATATGTTGTCTATAGCTGGCCAAACAGCTGGACCGAATGGGCTGAAATTTGTTGTGGACACTCATGGGTGGCTGGGGGGTGCTAAAGCCTAAATAAAATGTTTTTTTTTATTCAAAAAAAAAAAGAAAAAAAAACTGCTGGTATTAAATATCGGAAATGATATTTTTTTTCTATATATAAATTTAGCTTTTCTATCTGTTTGTCTGTTTGTTTGAATCCAATAAACGTCAAAACGGCTGAACCAATCAGGCCCAAATTTTGTGTGGGACCTCACTTGACCACAGGGAAGGTTTATGAATGACACAAAGAGCAGTCAGAGAAGATGCTCAAAGTTAAAGCCGCTCACAGATAAAGCCACAATTAAAAGTCGTAATAGAAGATGTGCCCTAAAAGCCTAGTATCTCAAATTAATGTGGTTTTAGCAGTTTTACCAGTTGGTTAAAAAGTGTGTTTCTACCTCTGTGGAGTACCTTATGCTGGGGGTTGGGGGGGGGGGGTGATGCGTCAGCAGTTTCTTTTCGCGCATTTCCGATAGAATTTTGGGGGATTCACACAGTTATTAGAGATCTGTTGCATTATAGCTCTTAATATTACAGCGGATTGTTAAGTATTCTTATAGTAAAATAATAGCTTTTGCGGAAAAGAAAAGTTCCTGTACTTAAAATAAGATGCCTAATGAAACCGCGAAAGATTGCATTATTTCTATTATTTTGATAAGCATTTTTTACAAGTAAAATTGCCCTAAATCAGATCTATACAGAAAGGTATTTACACTTTTCAAAATTTAACACCAATTTCCAATCGACTACATATGCTTTATTATGTTTCAGAGAACGATAAAAAAACATTAAATATAAAAGAGAAATATTCATTTTTATATCAATTGATGTAAGATGCAAGCAGGGACGGATCAAGAAATTTTCTAGGGATGATCCAACTAGAGTTTTCTCTCCATTTTTCGTATAGCTCCCTCCAACGATGTAGGGGTGAGCAATTTTGCTCCAATTATAAGGGTCATCCCTGTATCCGCCCCTGAACACAACTTACAGAATAACTACACAGCTTTCACGCCTTCATTTTAAAATGTTTAAAAAAAATTTAAACTATATGTAAGAAACTACGCACAATAGCAATGTATAGAATAACCCTAATGCAAAAAGTGTTTGGCTTAGTCTGGTTGCAATGCACTGCACTTGTTCTACAGAATTTTAATGAACTCTGGTTGAGAGGGAGGGGAGAAGGGTGATGACCTTGCAAGTCGTTGACAATAAATTTGATGAAGTCAGTTGGAATCTAGCATTGATCTCCACTTTAATTAATTAATTAATTCAATTTCTCTTTAATATACCGTTGTGGTCATTAACTGCTGGGATAATTTTAGATCTCGAGATTTTTAACGGTTTAGATTAACGATTCTCCACACAAAGTCAAAATTTAGCCGCTAGTTGTCCTCCTGCAGCAAATACCTACTCCATGACAGTATAACTCGAGAGTATCTATCCAGGTCTACTCGTTACCACGATCATCCAGGACTAACTCTTTGTTTCTGAATACCGCAAAGGCAACATCTCAACCAGGCATAACTCTCCGGTTCCAAAGTACACACAGTCCTAAATCTCAACCAGGCTTAACTCCCTAGTTATAAAAGCCACACTTGGTCTTTTGAAATTGAAATGAAAAAAAAACAGCAACTTATTCTATAAATCATTGATAAAGATAAACAATCTATATATAAATTTGGCTTGTCTGTCTGTTTGTTTGTTTGTTTGTCTGTCTGTTTGTGTCCAATAAACGTCAAAACGGCTGAACCGATCGGGCCCAAATTTTTTGTGGGACATCACGTGACCACAGGGAAGGTTTATGAATGATCAAAATTTCAAATATTTGTCTCCATCAAAATTCGATCTTCATTAAATTTTTGAAAATTTTGAAAATCCACGATATTTTTTGTGAAAATCCGCGAATTATTTTTGTTTTGTTTTACGATGTACACAAAGAGAAAATGTTCACAATTAATTTAGAAGATGGGCACGAAGCGCCCTCTAAGGCTAGTTTAGTAATAAACCATATAGCAGAGATCCTTAATTTTGCTTTGTAACTTATTTAAGAATACAATGGAAAACATTTAATAGGAAGACGACATCTATGCTTTCTTATAGGAAATCAACTTATTGAGTAGAAAAAGGGATTGTGTACAATGAGGGGAGGAAGGCCAGCCACAACAATTTCTCGTCCGAGCCACATTCTCCTCATTATTCGTCCGAGCCACCTCGGAATCCTCGTCCTTCGATTATTTTGTGTTAAAAGTTTCCAATTCTTGAAGATAAAATTTTTTTTTTTTAAATCTGGCCACGTTAGGGCATGAAATATGGAAGGACTAAAGTATTTCAGTGATTATTTCATGTTGGAATCTTCAACCCCATGAGAATGGTGACAAAACTTAAATCTACTCTGCCTCCACAATGACTAACCTTCGCGATATAAAATTAATAGCTAAATATTCGACATGGAACCTACCAGAAAAATTCTATGGTTTTCACTATAGTTAACATAAAAGATTGAAGTTCTTTTAAACTTGGAATTATTTGCGGCATTCTACACCAGGAATATCTAAAAATGCGCGTAAGGTGAACATTTTTTAAGACATTAAACTTGAAATCTTTAATTCAATTGAAACTTTTATTTCAATAAACAAAAATTTGATATTTTATTTATGCCCTAACGTGGCCCGATTCTTTAAAAATAGTTTTATCTGGAAGGATAGACACTTTGAAAAATAATATTGAAAGGACGAGGATTTCGAGGTGGCTCGGACCAGAAAATTAGGAGAATGTGGCTCGGACGAGAAATTGTTATGGTTGGCCTTCCTCCCCTCGTACAATGCACAAGCGCTTTGTTTCATGTAAATTGAACTATTTGATATGATTTACTTAGATCTAACAATCGTCTTACTATTTCTTATTTATATGGGTCTCACTGTCTGGAACTTAAAATATTTGTTTTAGTTTTAACTATAATATAACTTTTAATGATTAGTGGGATATTGAAGTTCAGAAATTAATTCTACGTTTCTACATAACACTTGCCTGGGAACACAGCGTTGTCAAGGTTACTCATAGTTATTCTCGCCGTTAACCCGCACTAGGTCGTAAATTAAGATTTTAGTTATTTTTCCCCGTAAAAGTAGGCATACTGAACTTATAATCTCAAAACCAAGCTAAGAACATTCTAATGTTTCTCCCAAATTTTAGGCATTTTGGTCCAGGGGTTCACAAAGATTGCTTAATCTATATAATAAAACAAGGCATTCTTATATATGTTGCGTATAGCCGGTCAAGCGGCTGGACCGATTGGGCTGAATTTTTTTTTGGACACTCACGGGTGGCCGGGGGGTGTTAAAGGTTAAATGAAATTCGAAATATTTTTTTTCCAAAATTTTTTATTTTTTTTTCAACGGGCAACGCCGGGCCCTTCAGCTAGTACTACTTTCTTGGAAACTAAATTTTTCCTTTTAAAAGTCAACCCACTCAATTAAAATCTCGTAACTAAGCTAAGAACATTCACGTGGTTCTACCGAGTTCCCCAATCAAAATTTGAGGCAAATCGGTCCAGGGGTTCATGAGTTATGTTAGGACATACAAACAAACAAAGAGCAATTAATACTTCATATATATATATATATATATACATAACATTCCCTCCTCGATTCTGGTTTCTCCAGTGTTTTCTGTTTTTATTTTATTTAATATTTACCCAGTGGTATATATTTTCCATTACATATCCATGCAGAGCCGGACTCCGGAGCCAGGCTCTAGAATTGTTTATATTTACGAGGTTACCCACAAAGGATGAGGATTCAATGAAGACCTAAAAATCGTTAAATATAGCGCCCCGGTTCCTGCCATGATACATTCTTTACTTGACATATTAAATGGTTTGGCAAAAATGAACCTAGTTACACAGCTGCAGGAAAACCATGAACCTAGTTCACAGCTGCAGGAAAACCATGAACCTAGTTCACAGCTGCAGGAAAACCATGAACCTAGTTCACAGCTGCAGGAAACCATGAACCTAAGAAAAAAGACTGAATAAATTCCGTCCAACTGTCTCTAAAGTCTCATCCTTAGCATCATGTATTAAATATACACAATTTTAACGATTTCCTTACTTACCAATAATAAATTTTTGTTTTTAATTTTATCCTGTTAAATCAGGTCATAGATTTCATACTAATTCCTGGCGTACATGTCACTGTTTTACTTGTGTTACTGGTTCTTTCATTTTATCCCTTCGCAAAATTTTAATGATTCACTATCCTCGAAATTCCCCTGTCTAGATTCCTGAAATTTCCTATCTAGATTTTTGAAATTTCCTTTCTAGATTCCTGAAATTTCCTATCCAGATTCCTGAAATTTCCTATCTAGATTTTTGAAATTTCCTATCTAGATTTTTGAAATTTCCTATCTAGATTTTTGAAATTTCTTCTGTTGATCACTGAAATTTCCTGTCTAGATTCCTAAAAAAATTTTATCTAGATTCTTGAAATTTCTTGTCTAGATTTATGAAATTTTCTGTCAATATTTTCAAATTTCCTGTCAAGATTTTTGAAATTTCTTGTCTAGATTCTATGCCGCTGAAATACTGCTTGGTTTGGGGCACTTGCACAAGGAAGGAATAGTTTACAGAGATTGTAAACCTGAAAACATACTTCTGGATAATCGGGGGCATGTCAGGTATGGAAAATATTAATCCGTTGGGCATGTCAGGTATAGATAACCAGGGGCATATCAGGTATATACAATCAGGGACATTTCGGGTATTAATAATCAGGAACATATCAGGTATAGATAATCAGGAACGTGTCAGGTATATACAATCAGGAACATGTCAGGTATAGGCAACCAGGGACATGTCAGGTATAGATAACCAAGGACATAACAGGTATAGATAATCAGGAACATGTGACATGAAAGGCATAGATAATCAGGGGCATGAAAGGTGACATGTCAGGTATAGATAGATGATCATGGGCATGTCAAGTATGAATAATCATTAATCAGGAACATGTCAGGTATAGATAATCAGGAACATGTCAGGTATAGACAACCAGGGACATGTCAGGTATAGATAATCAGGAACATGTCAGGTATAGATAATCAGGGACATGTCAGGTATAGATAACCAGGGACATGTCAGGTATAGATAATCAGGAACATGTCACATGAAAGGCATAGATAATCAGGGGCATGAAAGGTGACATGTCAGGTATAGATAATCATTAAATCATTAAACAGGGACATGTCATAGATAATTTATTTTTCTTTAAAGGATTTCCGACCTTGGTCTGGCCATAGAGATACCAGAGGGAGAGACGGTACGGGGTAGAGTCGGAACTGTTGGGTAAGTTTTAATGGGATTGTTTTTTAATCTGATAAAAATGTTTGTTTAAGGTTTTTTACACCGTTACATTATACAGTACAAAAATCTTTCATAAGATCTTCCAAAAATATTATCTTAATCCATAAAATCAACCATAAAGGGAATTCTTATTTATTTGTTTTATTTGTTTAGTGATAACAAATGAAAAATAATTGCTTTCATTCAGCTCTGGACGAAATAAAATAATTGTAATTAATGTAATTACAATAATTACCAATTCTAAGCTTTAGATAATCCCAACTTTTTCTTTTCTCAAAGTAATCAAACTTCATCAGATTTTTTTATACTTTTGTTTTACTTCTATTTGTACATGCTGGAGAAAAGAAGGGAAACTATAGCCCACCCACCCCCTCCCCCCACACACAAAATCTTCGGTTTACAACATATATTACACTGTTATTTTTGAAAGTACAGATTCTGAAAATTTAAGTTTTTTAGATCTAACCTTACATTCTTATACTAGGTATATGGCTCCTGAGATAATAGACAATGAAAAGTATACATTCAGTCCGGACTGGTTCTCCTTGGGTTGTTTAATCTACGAGATGATTGAGGGAAGAGCACCTTTCAGGGCTAGGTAGATATTTTAATAGAATTACGTACACGATTCACAACGGCACTTCATTAACTTTTATCAAAGTAACAATAATGAAGATATCGTTGTTTTTCTACCTTAAAAATATTTAAATTAAATTTCCTTCAACTTTGAGAACTGCAGATCCGGAAGTTATATTTTTAGATAACTCATCAACTGCTAATAAATATGAAGTCGATTTCCATCATGTCTAGATTTTAATCTGTGTTTTGAACATGTCTAAAGTTTAATCCAAGCCATATGTTGAACATGTCTAGAGAGTTTAATCCATGTATTGAACATGTTAATGTTTTAATCCATGTATTGAACATGTCTAGAGAGTTTGAAAATGTCTAGAGTTTAATCCAAACATCTCTAGAGTATAATCCATATATTGAACCATTTTTAGAGTTTAATCCATGTATTGAACATGTCTAGAGAGTTTAATCCATGTATTGAACATGTTCAGAGAGTTTAATCCATGGATTGAACATGTCTAGAGTTTAATCCATGTGTTGAACATGTCTAGGAAGGAGAAGGTGAAGAGGGAGGAAGTGGACAAATTTCTTTGCAGATTTTATGCTGCTTCCCTTTATCAGAGGTTTTCTAAAATCAAATAATTGTAAACATTATACAAATGGAACTGGGTCTATCTTGAGATTTAGTTGGACATAGCTTGTCTTAGAAGTTTGGACACAGGTTTAAAAGCTACGTTTTTAAACGAACGAACTAGGCTTGTCTGTCATTGTCACTCCGCCTTGTCTGTCTGCACTTAATAAACGTCCAATATTGTTGAACCGATCGAGTCTAAATTTCTTCACTTGACCCCAGGGAAGGTTTATGGATGGTTAAAGATAACAATTTCTGCCCGGAAGATAATAATAGGATAATGCGCAAATTAAACCCCAATAATTTGCAACATACGCTTTTTAAAGAAAAATGACAGCTTGAAGGGCAACGGTGTACAGCTGAAAGTGTTACTAGATAAGGGTCGCGTACATACATGCGTTCACCCATGCATAACTACAAAGAAAATGTATACTTTATTCTTTATTTAGATCGTTATGCGAAGGCTTGTTGAAGAAGAAGGTTGTGGATAGGTTGGGTTGTAGTTCAGGACGGAGAGGAGTTGGAGAGATTAAAATCCATCCTTGGTTTAATACTCTCAACTGGAGAAGGATTGAGGCGGGCAGGGATACCCCACCTTTCGAACCAGATCCTCATGCAGTCTATGCTAAGGTAAATAAATCTAATACTTAGGATCTATTACATGCTGATCCGGATTCTGGATCCTTGAAAGGGATATTTGTTAAAGTTTCGAAAAAATTCTAAGATTTGCCAAAAAAAAATTGTTCTTTTCTTTATTTGTTAATTTGTATGGTTAAAAATTGAGAACTCTAAAACTGTTTACTGATTTGTCAAAGAACGATAATACAGACAAAATATGCGGTAAATTCTGTTTTTCCTTTGTTTTCATGTACAGAATTAAACATATGATTGCTCAAGTATGTACTGTATTCTGTATAGTGTATATTACTCTAGTATGTACTGTATCCTGTATAATATTAAATCTATCTATTGTAGTAAAGGGTGGGCAAAATGTAGGATTGTACGGATTTTTTTATTTTAACCAAAAAATTGTACGGATTGTACGGAATGTACGGATAATGTCTCAAATTGTACGGATTTTCAGGGGGTAAATAACCCCAATAACCCCCCTTATGTCCGCCACTGGTACTGTATCCTGTATATTATTAAATCTATCTATTGTAGTACAGGGTGGGCAAAATGTAGGATTGTACAGATTTTTTTATTTTAACCAAAAAATTGTACGGATTGTACGGAATGTACGGATAATGTCTCAAATTGTACGGATTTTCAGGATTTTTAGCCCCGTAAACATTATTTTTTTCGATTTTGACTTAATAAAAAGCTAATTCTTGCATACAAATTTTTTTTATAAAACCATCAAAATAAAGTTCAACTTACTATCTTCATTTCGAATTATATTAGATTGATTGTTGTTTCAATTGACAATTAAAATTCTTCTTTCATCTTTTCGAGAATATGTTCCAAAAGTGTTCATTCGAGAATATGTTCCAGAAATACATGGTGTTCCACACAATAAAAACTTTGCAGTACAGGGGTATTTTGTGCGGAGGGAACAATTTTCGTTTAATTTTTACAATCAAGGTGTCATTGAAACACTTATATCAGTTATTTCAAGGTGTAAACTTTTTCTTTCTTTCTTTTTTTTGTAAAACCATTTTTTTTACCAGATTTAGATCAAATATTTTTGATGAAAACGCGAGCTTAAAAATGATAATCGATTATCCAAAATTTTAGCTTAAAAAGAATCCTAAGATTATCAGTTTACTTTTTTTAATTGACATTATATGTGAAAAAGTATAAACTTGAAAACACCGGGCAATCTCTAATACTAAAAGAAGTGATTGCAAAATAAATAGTGTGAGGCCCAGAGAGAAGAGCGCATACTCAAATTAAAGAATTAAGGTCCATAATGAAATTTAAAACGTTTTTTTTTTCAATGCAGTCATTTACAATACTAGCCTTAGAGGGCGCTTCGCGCCTATCTTCTAAATTAATTGTGAACATGTTCTCTTTGTGTACATCGTAAAACAAAAGAAAAATAATTCGCGGATTTTCACAAAAAATTTCGTGGATTTTCAAAATTTTAAAAAATTTAATGGAGAACGAATTTTGATGGAGACAAATATTTAAAATTTTGATCATTCATAAACCTTCCCTAAGGTCCCTAGATGTCCCACACAAAATTTGGGCCCGATCGGTTCAGCCGTTTTGACGTTTATTGGAAACAAACAAACAGACAAACAAACAGACAGACAAGCCAAATTTATATATAGATATAATTTTTTTCATTAAAAATTCAGATATTTCTGAAAATTATAAATTACACGAAAAAAAGTACAAAGAGTCGGACTTGAAAAAGTTTAAACCAACAAAATCTGGTTTTCTTGTCATTTTATATACGTCCTAATAAACATGGGACTTAAGAGGTCGTCTTTATTTACGTGCACATGTTTTAATCTTTCCGAAATGTGGTCTGCCTTCGTTGTATCTTTATAATTGAAAATCACTTAATTCCCACGTTTATTGGGAACACTCTGTAGACTGCTGATTGTTGATAAAGTGCCAAAGATTTCACAATCTTCCTAACTTTATATATGATTAATTATTTATAACACTGATATTTTGGTTCGCAGTGTTAGTTTTTTGGACAGAAATTTTCTCTTTATCAAGAAGGTTCAACTCTTCTTAGATTTAATTTTGACCCGTGGGACCAACTATATAGTTATATATCTTAAGTCCAGAAACTTTAAAACACGTCGCGCGTACCAAAATAATAGTGTTAACGGTAATTTTGTGAAACGTGTACTTGTCTTATTTCAATGGCTATTTCTACATCAAATAAGCTTTTTGAAACAAAGCAGAAGTCAAAATATAAAGTTAATTTTAATTTAATTTTTATTTCAATGAAAATTTTTTTTTTGAAATATCCTAAATTTTTTGGAGAAAATCCGGGAACCAATGAAAATTTTATAACACACGTGCTATAATGTACAGATAATTTAACTTTATAGCACAATGATTTCTTTATAGCACGTTCATTATGAAACTTACGATGAAGTAAGGAAGAATGATAAAGTACACAATAGTTTTAAAGTTTTAAGCTTAGACAAATAACGAAACCCATCACAATTTAGAAAATAAAAAGAATAGCTTACATAATAGTAAAAACATAAAAAGCAAGCAGATTTTTTAATTGTATTTTTATTTTATCGAGATGTTTATTTCATCCGGCTTTATCATCTTTATCATCGGTACACTGCACAATGCAGTCTTTTTTGTTTCAGATAGATTTTAAAGCAATTTAAGGTTGAAGCCTTTGCTCACATACGAACACAAAGGATGATAAATGATAAAAGAAATGAGAAATTAAATTTTTTAGCTTTTGATGTTTTTTTTTTAATGTAAGTTTTGACCACCCTTCTAGTATGTAATGTATCGTGTATGTTATTAACCCCAAGGTTAGAATTAATAAACCTGTCTACTCTAGGATGTGTGTAACCTGTATATTATTAAACCTATACTCTAGTATGTACTGTATTCTGTATATTATTAAACCTATACTCTGGGATCTACTTTATCCTGTATAGTATGAAACCTATCTACTCTAGGATGTACTGTATCCTGTATAGTATGAAACCTGTCTACTCTAGGATGTGTGTAACCTGTATAGTTTGAAACCTATCTACTCTAGTATGTACTGTATCCTGTATAGTATGAAACCTGTCTACTCTAGTATGTACTGTATCCTGTATAGTATGAAACCTGTCTACTCTAGTATGTACTGTATCCTGTATAGTTTGAAATCTATCTACTCTAGTATGTACTGTATTCTGTATATTATTAAACCTATACTCTGGGATCTACTTTATCCTGTATAGTATGAAACCTATCTACCCTAGGATGTGTGTAACCTGTATAGTATGAAACCTATCTACTCTAGCCTGTATAGCTTCAAACCTATCTACTCTAGAATGTGTTTAACCTGTATAGCTTGAAACCTATCTACTTTGGTATGTGTGTAACCTATATATTATTGAACCTATACTCTGGGATCTACTTTATCCTGTATATTATCAAACATATCTGTACTCTAGGATGTACTGGATATTGAACAGTTCTCTACAGTACGTGGAGTAAACCTTGATCAAGGAGATCAAACCTTTTATCACAAGTTCTCCTGTGGAGCAGTTTCTATTCCCTGGCAGGAGGAAATCATTGAAACAGGAGTTTTTACGGTACTTTATTCAAACATTTTAAAAGGACTCCGGCCAACTTTAAAGAATTTGAACCGCGTCGCTGAACCGCCAAAAACCGGTTGCACCTTAGCGCCGGCTAAAAAAACGAAAAATTCAAATGGAACTAATAATGTTTGAACCGCGTCTAATATTTGAAATTCTTTAAATTCGGTTTCTGGAGCCTTAATCGTAATTTCCAGTGATCCTCCATTTGAGGAGTGTCTTGTCATTATCCAATTCACATTGTTACCTTTTGAATCTATGTCCGATTAAGGATGAAAAAGATATTGTGATTTGTCTAGTTAATTATTGATTATTTTCAATTGTAGCGTCAGAAACAATTTTTAAGAAATTAACAGAATTTAACACTTTTTAGATGGAAATATACGGACATTTTACTCATGTTAACGGTTTCGTTGTGAATGGGCCATGCCACTTTTTTTAATTCAGGATTTTAATTTTATTGGGACACCCACTAATGTGTTCAGAAAATGAACTATTGTGTTTGGGAAATGATTAATTGCGTTTAGAAATTGACTATTGTTTTCATGAATTGAACTATTGTGTTCAGGAATTGAACTACTGTGTTCAGGAATTGAATATTGTGTTCAGGAATTAAACTACTGTGTTCAGGAATTGAACTATTGTGTTTGGGAATTTACTAATGTATTAAGAAAATTGAACTATTTTGTTCAGGAATTGAACGTGTTTGGACCATTGAACACCCCTAGTCCAGATCTACGACGAGATCTAATCCCTGAACCTGAACCAACATCAGGCTGTTTACAGTTCCTCATGAGGAAGAAGAGAGGACCGAACAATTCAGGATAGGGAATATCTACTTAGACATTTTATTCAATTACATCCACCCCCCCCCCCACCTATTTTCCCCCTTAAGGGATTAAAGGGATACGTACTTTTGAAGACCCTTCAAATATAGGAATAAACTTATAACCCAATCCTCTATCTTTACTTCCAGATTTTATTTTCAACCAAGCAAGCTTGAGAATTCAATCTTTAATCTATTATATTTATTGAAGAATCATCATTTTTTGCAAAATCTTTCACTTCACAAAGTTTATACCGAACAAAAAGAAATTTCTGTCATTCAATTTAAACTTCTTTCTATTCGACATAAACGTGATACCTTATATAATTCCTGGCTTTCTGCAACTATTGTTGCGGTAAATTGTAAAATGAAATAGATTGCACTGTAAGGAATTCTATTTCCAAATATTAAATTGTCACACCATAGATTAAAGATGGATGCCACTGAGATAAATCCAAGGTGTCTGCCTTCAACTTTTTCATAATATTCCTTTTATCTCAGGTAGTGAAAGCACCCCCGCCAACTCACAGAACAGTAATTCCTGTCCAGAACGATGAAATCAGATTAGGCCGAGCTCCTTAATTCCCGAACTCTTAAACATTAGTCCCTGAAATTCCTGAAATCCAAGAAATAACCTTCATCAACTGATCTCTAAGATCAGATAGGAAGCCTCGGCGCCCCTATTCCTCCCATCTGCTTCCATATTACAAATACTTAAGATCCTCTGAAAAGCATACTTCCATTACAAATATATTTTACCGGGACTTGCGGCGAAAGAAAAACCAAAAGAATCAAAATATTGACATAATTTATCACACCACCTAATTACACTGTGACTAGTACTTTTACTGTACAGGTACAGTGTAAAACCTATATAGAAACTGTACATCTGTTTTCTGTACGTACCGAATTATTCATGTGCGATGTCATGATGCTAATGAATTCAAACAATTGAAACCGTGATTGGTTCGACATGTTGTCGATTAAAATCCGAATTTACCGACTTAAATTCGCATTTCAGATAAACAGAGAATGTTATTATGTTATTACTCGATCCCTGCCCCTCAATGCTTTTAGTTGAAAACTTTTGACAAATTTATGCCTCAATATTTGCCATGACAACAGTTAAAATCAAAATATTAATGTAATTTCTCAATTTGCAATTGTAACACTGTGGAATAAAAATGTGTTCATAAGACCGAAGTCGGTTTAAAAAAATAGTGTTTCATGAAATCAACAAAGATTGTATCTAGTGTTAGTCAATTCTTTTTGATCCGTTTTTTTTACATTCAAACTTTTTGGCCTTTAAAGCAACTGACATGATAAAAATTGAATACAATTTAGTTTTTGAAATGCTCGATAACCCTGGAATGTGTTGAAAACGGATTGATCCCCAAAATTAAATCTAACTGTACCCCTCTAGTTGGTAAATTGTGCCCCCCCCCCCTATATGTGTATTGTGTACGCTAAACAAACCTTCAATGTTTATTATAAATGTTAATTGTTGCGTGTATTCGCTTTCGCCATCATAAAACTGTCTGTCATCCCTGTTTCGTATTATCCCGTGTAACATGTAAAAAATCGGAGGATTTTATCAACAATGTTGCTTCAACGAATTTACATGCTTCAAAATTTAATTATATATATATATATATATTTATTTAAGTTGACTTAGTCTATAATTTTGCCTAAGTTTATTATCGCACCAAATGAAACTTTAAAAAGAAAGAATGTGCGTTTACCCGCATTTCTGGTTAAAATTTCCCGCATCACCCGCTCAAATACTACCAACCAAACACGCCTAAAGCTTATGCATGCACAATGCAACAAATATTATATATTAAAATTTTTAGGAAATTAAAAAAGATTTATAAAAATGAAGCAAAATTACAAAAATTTATTCAATGCACAATTATCTGTTATTCTGCAAATTTTGTCGAAATTCAAATTTTTATCACCCAAGCTGAGTCAACGATAGAAAAGATATTTTTTACAGTTTTAAAAGGTTCCTGACAAGGTATTTTTATGTTTTCTACCAATTTTCTGTTAGATTGATATTAATTATATTGTTTAGTTATTTACGTAGCAAAAGGCAAGATATGTCTTATCAGTTTCCACAATTTCATTCCCCAGATGGAAATATACGGACATTTTACTCATGTTAACGGTTTCGTTGTGAATGGGCCATGCCACTTTTTTTAATTCAGGATTTTAATTTTATTGGGACACCCACTAATGTGTTCAGAAAATGAACTATTGTGTTTGGGAAATGATTAATTGCGTTTAGAAATTGACTATTGTTTTCATGAATTGAACTATTGTGTTCAGGAATTGAACTATTGTGTTCAGGANACCTTTATGTACCGTGTTTACATATATAGTGGATAATATACTGTTTTAGTCAAACCTTGATAATCCAATACAGAGATTTTAACAACTGGAGACATAGATTATTCTCCACTAAAACCAACCTGCAAGGTCGGTTTTATTTTCATTGTGCCTAACTCCTTAAGTCAAGCGCCGAAGATCTTGCAGCTATAAATCACGTGACACAAGCTGTCGTCAGAGATGACTTGAAGATTGGGTCTTAAAGTCCTTAAAGTCGTGTTAAAGGAATTACGGCTCGAGCCGAAGTTTTTAAATCGCTGGCTCTGGATGGCCTATTCTTGGAGGGATGAATTTGAGAATTGGTTTTTTAAATTAATTATACAATACGTTGGGAACAGGTTGAGAAAATTATGATTCACTCTTATTATCGAAATTAAGAAATCTCTTTCAGTTATCGGTTTTTGTAATGATGTTCAACAACGTTTTCTGTAGATTTCTTTTCCCGGAAACTTTTTATTGAAAAGACGACATCCAAAGAATTTGCAGAAAGTCAAAGGATGAGCAATTTAATATAATAATGATGAATGATGGTTTCTTCACAAATTTCTGTTCAGAAATAAGTTCCTAAGCAACTAACTATTTTACTGTAGATCTTGCTGTGCTGAACAATTATAAACCGAAAAAACATCTCATGGATTTCAATCTCAAATGTTAATCCTGAAAAATTTCTCAACAATACTGCACTTACAGCTCAACTAACATGTCTAACCGGTCTCTCCCTTTAAAACGATTCTAGGTACTTTGCCAGTGGCGAGTTGCCAAGTATCTAGCTACCACCGACAATTTAACACGCAGAACTTTGCCATTTAACAATTTGCCAGTTGACATATTTACCAGTTGATAAGTTACCACTTAACACTATCACACTGCCAGTAACAAGTTTATCAGTCAACACTTTGCCAGGTGACAACTTTTGGCAAATTGCCACCTGGCAAAATTGTTAACTGGCAAAATTGTCAACTGGCAAATTATTAACTGGCAAAATTGTCAACTTTCAACTTTGTCACATAGTGTCAACATCTACGACATGGTTTTTAACAAGAAATCTCGTTGGTTAATTTATAACCGGAGAAAGGGAAGAGTATAGAGTGCTGATTTTTTTAAAAACCTTTTACTTAACGTAAAAGTACCCAGGATTCAATCCTGTAAAAAGGACAAAAAATCAAAAAAAAAACCAAAAAAACCATAATATACAAACAATTTTGTAAAAATTAAGTTATAGATGAGCCAGTGCTTTGCCATGAAACACCTGGAAACTCAATATTTATCAAATTTCCGATTGCTTCCAGATGGGTAAAAAAATACATCATGACTGGTTCAAACAGATCCACCTATTGCATTAGTTTGTTTTTTCCAAAGTACAAAAAAGTGCCTTTGTTAGAATGCTGATTCTGCTGATAGACAGTTTGTACAGACTCCTTATCTTTGAACATAAAGGTTAACATATGTACATTTAAAGAAGAGGGGGATTTTTGTAGACGTCATTTTACACATGAATAAAAATACATAAACCAATTAATGTACATTTGTCAAGTCGATACTCTAACTCCTTGTACAAAATTCAAATATTCCAAAAATATTTAGCATATTTAGCAATATGAAAAACATGGCGCAAAACATCCAAAATGGCATTTTTCATATAAAATTTGTAACAAATTTAAAAAATTTAAGGGTCCGAAGAGAGAAAGGCTTTTGATCTGAAACCTCAGAAAAGGTCAAAATTATTGACTAATGATTAATAATTTGGACTTTCAGTATTTTACACATAAAAGTTTAAAGGGAGTGACCGGCAATGTATGGTCTAGTTGAACTGAGAATGTAGTACTGTGGAGAAATTTTTCAGGATTCATTTGAGACATATAAAACATTTTAATGATATATAATATTACTGAGTTTGAGCGCAAAGTCGAAGTTCAAAAAAATCATCCATTTGGGTGGTTACGTTTTTTAAATTATTAAATAATGACGACAAAATTTGCAAAAAAAAATCTACATTAAGCTAGTTAGTTGTTAAGGAATGTATTTCTTAATTGAAAGTTTCTCAATTAATTAATATTAGAATCAATTATTTCTTTTTCATCCTTATATTGAATTTCTTATTCTTTATTCTTTGTTCACAGATTTCTTTAAATTCTTCAAACGTCATTTCAATGAAAATTCCAGGAAATCTACAGAGCATGGCCATTAAATGGGAGAACTGTGACAAGAAGAATAAATTCTGAACTGAAAACTTTAGAATTGTGGATATCGAGATCATTGCTTGATCTTCACTTTTTTGTTAATCTCAAGATTTATTTAATCTTGAGTTTTTATCCACAAAAGTGGATATAACTCAACCAATCGAATGGGGTTTGCAGAACCGGAACAGTTAATCAGAGAAGCCGGGAAAAATTTAGCGCGTCATTGAGTGAATTCTAATTGGTCGAAAAATGACAGGGAGAAAAAAGAGAGAGAAAGAGTGGATTAAGGAGGGGATAAAAGCGTCCACATTGGATATTCAGATAAATAAACTATAATGTTTATTAAACGAGAACACAAGGTTTTTAAAAAAATCACAAGTATGAAAATAAACGAAATAATTAAATCAAAAATACGATAAAATTTCGACATAGATTATATAACGATGTGAATCTGCTAGAAGCTGATTCGCGCACTCAAATATAGAGAGATTAACAAACATGCAACTATAATACATTTATAACACTACAGTTACAGTAGAAGTAAATATTTCCATTTAGTGTATAACGCGGAAATAAGGATTTATCTCTAATTGGATTATGAAATAGATAGAAAGATAGATATTACCGCCATACTATTTCTATTGGTACAGAATAGACAGCAAACACATGACTGAACCCTGATTGGATTAGTTACTAATGGACTGGGCATACAGGAGCAATATATTGAGAGTAGGTTAAAGTTGTTAGTTGAGTTGCTTTTGGCTCCATAAGTTGCTGTGTTGTAGCTGATTAGCTCCAGAAGTAGCTGTGTAGCAAATTAGCTCTTGGAGTAGCTGTGTTGCCGATTAGCTTTAGAAGAAGCTGAGATTAAGCTTATGAGCTCCAGTAGTAGCTGAGGTTCAGCTTGTTAGCACCAGATGTAGCAGTGGGGTTTAGCTTACTAGCTCCAGGAGTAGCTGAGATTTAGCTTATTAGCTCCAGGAGTAGCTGAGATTTAGCTTATTAGCTCCAGGAGTAGCTGAGGTTCAGCATATTAGCTCAAGGAGTAGCTGAGGTTTTGTAGGATGAAGAAAATTTAAGCTTGAAATTGTCATTCTTCTTCAATTCTCGGGTTGTATCTGACCAGGAGGCTGTTTTTTTCGGCCATGGTTCGTTTGTTGTCTTGGGTCACCACGTTAGAAGTACATTTATTGCTTCTAGGTACAAATACATAATGAATGAATTTCGGATACTTCATCCTCTACAGTCTAAACTTATTTTGAAAAATGCAAAGAATAATTGTCTAGATGACAAAATCTTAGTTTTTGCTTTGGGGACTTGGATACCTCAGATTTAATTGGAGACCTCAGATTATCATTGGATTACCCCAGATTTTTTTTGGAGACTCCGAGGTTTATCATCTATAAGACACCAGATTTTTAATATACAATTTTCGTTTGTTACAACTGCTCCCTTTCCATAAAAAGGTACAGCTAGGGTTTCTATCGCAAGTGGAGTTTACTTGCGCACAATTGCGGGGCCTGTAATTTTCACGCAACTCCGCGCAATACGAGAACTTTTGCGTGAAATTCCGCGCAACAGAATTTCGATTGGAAACCCTAGGTACAGCACAATTTGGACAAAATGTCCTGGGTAGTTATATAACCTTGTTAGGACATTTTGTGAAAATAAATTGTCAATTGGGTTTTTTCATAAAATGCATATTTTCTTGTCAATTATAACATTTTTATATAAACTAATATTCCAATAATTGGTTTAAACTCTATTGAACATAGGAAAATAACAATGTAAAATGGTCATATTGTTTAGATAATTGCGCAGGGTTTCCATAAGTACTCAGCAAGGGTTTCCATTATTTTTAAGTTTTTTGGACTTTTATAAGGCTCCAATTTCAAATAGCATATTCTTCGCATTTGATTTTCTTATTTGATTCAAAAATTTTACCCTGGGAGATGATTATTGTGGTTCCTTATGCCGCATGTATAGAGCTCTGGGCATGTTCTCAAATGCTATTTTATCAAAGGCACCTAAACTTTGAATTTATTTCACTAATTATGTTACAGAGATGGATCCGTTTTTACTCTCAGTATTACAGGACTCATGGCTCACCAAATTGAAAACATAATTATTTTAACTTTTATTTGAACTTTTCTGTTCGGTTTTTTGATATTTGCAAATCTCTGGTGATTTAGTTGCAAAGAATCTCTCAAAAGAAAGAATTGTCTCCAAGAGAAATAGTTTTTGTTGTACAGTTTATTGATGAGCCAGTTGTGAGCCATGATGAGCCAGGAGCTGTCGACCATTGCAGTGTTGATGGGATGTTTTGTTTGATCCAACCCAGTCCAATTCAGGACTTAGTCCTGGTTACGATATACTTTTAGTATTAGATTTTAATTTTAATAAACAACCAAACATATTTTTACTGTAATTAAAGAAACATGTTAACATTATTTGGTCAAACTTTCCTATAATTTAATAAAAAGTGCCACTTGGCACTTGGAAACCCTAATTTCATGAATTATCTATATTTTAAAAAAGCTCTGTTCAAACAACTGCTTTTTAATAAGAAAATAAAACCAAAAAGTAAATAATTGCATAGCCATTTAAAACTGATTTTAAAGTTGCCAAAACCTTCAAAACTGCATTGGCAACGCACCACGCCAAGGTCGACCAGTTCAGGCAAGAAAACCCAAGACGTAAAACTTTACAATGCCAGGGTTAAAATTCCCTTTTTATGGTTTAAAAAAAAGCCATGCAGAATGTTTTCCAAATGGGAAACAAAAATTTCCTAAAGTAAACTATAAACTGAAATTTCGATGGAAACCCTAGTCTAATTCAATTGAATTATCAATAATTGAACATAATTATTTTCTTATTCATACCAAAACTTTACCCATGAGTAAGCACTTACTTGAGGTAACAACCTTTAGTGTTCTAACCTTTAAAATATTAAATTATGAGAGTTTTAATTTACCTCATTTTTATGTTCTTGAGAATTTTGAGTAATTCTTAAAAACTTTTATACATTTACAGTTTTAATTTACAATTTGATATCTAGAAATTTAATATTCTTCATTCCGTGGCATTAACAGTTGCATGTTCATCTTTTGAATCACAATTCGACTCTCTGTATATATAAACTGTTTCTTTTTTGATTCTTTATTTAGATGGTGATACTTGGTAGATTTTCTTACAGTTTAAAAACAGAGTTTAACGTATTATAGCAACAGCAACATTTATTAGAACAATTTTTTAATGATTTCATATAAATACTTTCACTCTAGTGTCATCTATTAAGAAAAGAAAAGTATGTCTACATCAGCGTCCATAGTTGGTTTAGGCCTTACTGGAGCTATACTCAGGGTCCAGGCATATACAGTCAAATACGCTTTAAGGTGTGCGCGTAACAATTGGAAAACAATTGGAAACATGCATAGTAAAAAATGGGAATAGATCAAATGCCTAATTTCATGACAGATTCTGAAAAGAGAACGTGTGTGCGTTTTCAAATGCAAGATTCAACTCTCTTAAAAAGTTTGATTTCATTTCTCAAAATCGTCGCGCCGCGCATAAAAACATCATTATGACATTTGATAAAATAAATTTGGACTTCATATTTCATATTGCGTCTCTGCGTTTTCTAAGTGCAAAGATTCAATGTTTCAATTTCCTTAAAAATTTCATTTCAATTGTCAAAATCGTGTTTCTGTGCACCGGGAAAAAATAACATCCTATCCCAATTTTGATTTTGTGGCTGTTTACATCTATAAGCATAACAATAGAGAACTGTGTTCTAGAGTTAACTTGATTTTGAGTTCAACTTTCTTGATATCATCAAGCAAAAAGGGTCTCCTGCGAGATAGATTTGCGAAAACTTTTCGTGAGAAAAAAAATTTTCAAAAATTTTTTCATTTTTTGGCATTCCATTCGCAGAAACAAAATGCGAAAATTTTCATTTCTTTCATAAAATTTTGCGTTTATAGCTGTTTCGCAAAAACTAAGCGAAAATTTTGGTGCGTAAAACTGTCACATATTTTTTGCAAAATTAATTTTTGTGAAGATTTGTTAAATTTCACGAAAAAATTGTGAATTCAAAAAAAAATCTGTACAGATTCCAATACAGGACTTCAGGGGGACTTCATTTATTTTGCCTGTATTTGCAAGTAGGGTTGTTAATCGTTTTTGAAAACGATCTTTAAACGATCGTTTTTTTTGGTTTCCTATCGTTTTTTGTTTGGTTTTCCGATCATTTTAAAAACAATCGTTTTAAAAACTTTTTAAAAAAACGATAGTTTTTAAAACGATCAGAAAATGAAACAAAAAACGATAGGAAAACGAAAAAAACGATAGTTTTTCAAAAAAATGAAAACGTTAACATCCCTATTTGCAAGTTTCACAATTCTTTCATTAAAATTAGACAATGTTCGCCTGAAAGGTATTGTTGAAGGAGGGATAATTAAACGTTGTAAATAGTGATATTATATATAGATTATCCATTTTTTAGTTCTACACAAGGGTGGAGAATAAAGTGGTAATATACAAAGTTTACAAAGTTTTTAGACTAGAATAATCACAATGGTTGCACTTGCGCACACATATATAATGAATAAAATACTATAGATAACAAAACTCCTTAACATACATGGTTTCATTGGTTGGTTTAGAATAGTACGTAAAAATGCTGGTAAAGGATTGGTCTGGCTAAAATGTGCAGGGCCTAGATAAACTGTGCTGTGCTATAGGTAGAAAGTAGGTTACAAAGATATAGACGTCTGGGTCTTGTAAAGGTTAAATATGTTGAAATGCATGGTAGAAAACAAACTGTATTTTTCACTGCTATGCTAAGATAGTGATTTAAACATTTAGAGATCAGGATGTAAATATTAAAGGTTTTAAACATTTATCAGATGAACATATTTTTAGTTTATCTATATTTAGATATTTTATTTAAAAATATCACAACCTATAAATTAGCAGACAAAATGGGATTCAAGAAAGAGAGGTTCAAACGTATTATTTGGTACGGGGTTTTCATCACCTTGGTTATTCTAACAATAACACAACTTAAGCAGAGTTTTGATTCCTGGGATGAAAGACCATTTGATACAATTGTGGAGAATATTCCGAAACAAAGTATTCCATATCCAAGTGTAACTGTTTGTCCATCAGGTATTGTATGGCACCGGCCATCTACACTTTTTAGTTATATAGAAACTTTTATTGTTACTTTCAACCATAATTAAGAATATTTTTTCTTCTAGGTTCAACAATTTGGCCAGGAGTTCGACAATTTCTGAATGAAATGGAATTTAAAGATGAGCATAAAATTATGTTCAAACAATCACATAAAACTCTTCTAAGGTATGCTTACACTTAAAGGGACCGTTCAATTATTTGGTTAATTTCATGGTAAACTAATTAGCCTATCAGCTTTTCATTGGCATTAGTCTTCAAAGATATCTATCGATCGGAGAAAATATCGATTTAGAATTCCAGCAGAAAGGTATTAAACCTTGCATAGACACTATTTAAAGTTCTTTTTCAGTTACAACAGCAAAATAAAATCTAAAATTACCATATTTCAATGACATCATGTGTAAGCCTTTATATTATTAAATATAATGACTTTTGATTTTGGAATTAGCAAGAAATATACGTTTTTTCGTGTTCTGCAAACATGATTTAACATATTATACAACACGTTTATACAAAGACGACTTTCTCTCTCAGACAAACCGGTTCCTAGATTCCAACTATTCAATAAAACACGGGGATTCGGGGAAGTAGGGAAAACATATCAAACTGTCTAATGTTTAAATTAAGTTATATTTTGAAAACAGAAAATTTTAAAATATTTTTTTAAAGAAAATAAAGATATCTACAATTTTACTATTAGATACTACATTTAATTTGATATTTGAAAAATTTAAAAAACCCATGACTATAACAAAAACATCAAATAGTGTAAATTCAAAGGTACCATGCCTTTGGGCTGGAATTTAAAAAAGATAAATCTGCTTTTTCTCAGGCCACAGTTTTCTTTGAAAAATAATAATAATATCAATGAATAGCTAATAGGCTATTTTACCCTTGAATTACCCAAATAGGTAAACGGTCCCTTTAAGATTTAAAACCACAAAAAGTAAATATTTTATTGGTTAGGTTGAAAGTAGCCAACTTGAGACAGAAACCTGATATGACATATCCTTACATAGATTCTTATAAAAAATGTGAAGAATGGAGTGATTACATTAGATACAGGTACAATTTTCATCAATGTGCTGGCCAATGATATATGTTAAATAGTGAACTATACACCAATTAGAGAGAATTAGTATGTGGTGTAAATACAAGGTTCCAACTTCTATCCCCCCCCCTCCCCGTAAGTCGTCTTTGCCAAAACCCCTCTCGAAGAAGTTCCGAACCAAAGTATGTCTCCGATAATTTATCTCTACACTCCGACAATAGGAAAACAGTGAAACGTTTTACTAGTGAAAGATCAAATCCATTTTATTGAAGGTTGGAAATATATCAGTTAACATAGTTATTTGCAACTCTTGTGTCTAAGTTAAGGAGCATGACCAACAAACCTACTGATCAACAAACCAACCAACCAACGGACCAACTGGCCAATGGACCAACTAGCCAACCTAACATATTATTGCTGATGCCCACCTACTTTTCTACATTTCAAACTGTGGACAAATAGCCTTTGTTCAATCTCTTCAACAGGATGTTATCCATGGAGACAGCAACAGCAACAGCAACAACCCCAGGAGCCTCAGAAACCATGAGCCAGGAATTCTACCTGCTGTCTACAGGGATGTATGATCTGTAGCACGTCAACCAACCACGTTCACAATCTGGATGTGGATCTGAATAACAGCAATACAAACAAGACCTCTCCAAATTCTGTGAACTTTCCTCAACCCCCTGCCAACTACCTTATCCCTCACCTCACCTCAGCGTTCCAATGCGCCATTCAGGGGAACAACATCTATGAACTGAAAGCCTTTGACAAACAGTACACCCCCCACCTGGAAACCAATGCGGATTTTTGTCTCTACAACAGCTTCGACCTCTAAACCACCCATCAGACCTCCTGGACTACCCAGTATGAATCCTGGTTCAGCTTTAAGATCAAGTTAATTAAAGAATTCTGGAGCATCAACATTTTTGGCAGAGAGGTCAACCAGATTTGACCTTCTTCCTTATTATGATTCCATTCAAGAATAGCTGAAGACCTAACCCCCAAGATCAAGACACTTCAAGCCAACCTGGAAATCATCCAGCAGTTCCACAATGTGGAGGACCTCCACAGCATCCCCCTCACCCAACAGCTGGTCCAAAATGTCATACTAGATTTCAACAAACATTACATCAAGTTTCTTAATGGGAGCGCAGCAATTGTTCGACCTCCAGCAACACTTGCGTTCATCGCTCATTTTGTGTGCGTGTTGGAGAAGAACTATAGGTCCAACCCTGCTCTTTATGACACAGACTACCCCCCTACATATAGGGGTCAAACCAGTTCGCTGTGGACCTCCCGGCAACAATACCAAACCTGCTCGTCAGCCCATTAAGACTCCCAATGTACCTCCCAAGAGGCCATGTACCCTTTGCACCATGGGAGGGTTCTAGTCTGATCACTACCCCCTCAATGGCAGCTGCAGAGTGGCCAAACTAAGTTCTCTGGAAATTCTCAAACTCATCTCCAACAACAATCTCCAATGACAATTATTCTTCCACAGCGGGTCCTCCAAAGTGTGCTCCAACAGATCAATTTCATGGGTGGAGAATGTTCCCATGGGAGATCCAGTACAACAATGGCTGTCAAATTAGTCTAATCTCCCAATCAGCCCTCCAAACCCTTACACCATCAATGTACTCCTGAGGGACCTCTTTCAGGGTGAAAGTCATGATCTACAAAGAAGAGGGTAAGATCATTCTCACTACTGAGATCAAGTTGAAGTTGCATGGGAAGATTCTAAAACTTTCGGCCATAGAAGAAGACCTTAACAATGGCTCAGGGCTCTCCATCTCAGTTCCCCCAAAGCGGAGGTCATTCACAGGGACACCAGTCAGATCTCCATCTTGCTGGGAGGAGACAACAACCTCTTCTTCCCTACTGAAGTAGAATGTGATCCACAGCCCTTTACCAATGCAACAGAATCATCTGGTATATAGCCCTGTCCCTTCCAACACCATCACCTGGATGGACCAACTCACCTCCATCTTCTTCAACACCCTCTTCGTCAAGTCCTTAGTCATCCAAGATCCCCCTGCTGACCTTCAACTTATTGATCCTACATCAACTCCAGATCCTACAGCCAAACCAGAACCTTTGACCGGACCTGATCATCCAACCAAACCAGGAGCAGAAGAACCAACAGAAGCAGGAGAATCAGGAGAATCAGAAAAATCAGGAGCAGGAGGATCAGGAGCAGTAGAATCAGGAGAATTAGGAGAATAAGGAGCAGGAGAATCAGGAGAATCAGGAGCAGGAGAATCAGGAGAATCAGGAGCAGGAGAATCAGTAGAATCAGAAGAATCAGGAGAATAAGGAGCAGAAGAATCAGGAGAATCTGGAGTATCAGGAGAATCAGGAAAATTAGAAAAATCAGGAGTAGGAGAATCAGCAGAATCAGGAGAATAAGGAGAATCAGGAGCAACAGAATTGGGAGAATCAGGACCAAGAGAATCAGGAGAATCAGAGCAGGATAATCAGGAGAATCAGAAGTAGGAGAATAGGGAGAATCAGGAGCAGGAGAATCAGGAGCAGGAGAATCAGGAGATCATTTATTATTTAACATTCAATAACCTTTATACATTGACATTTATTATTACTATACCTCCATTTTATTGCATATTTGAAATATATCAGTTATAGTGATTATTTGTAACTCATGTGTCAAGAGGTAACAATTAAGTGATCAATTGAACCAACCGACTGATGGACCAGCTGGCCAATTAAACAACTAGCCAACCTAACATGTTATTGTTATTATTATTGATTCCATTTTGAAAATTGCATAAGGGTGATAATTTTAATTGAAATTAAAATTGCCAACTGGAAACCAGTTTTTATGAAATTTAAGGTTAAGTAATACAGTGCTGCAAGCAGAACAATAATTCTCCAAAATACATGGAAATGGGGTTCAAAGATCCCTATGGAAACACTGAACCCAAAACTTTTGAAATTGGAAAAATATTGTTAATAGCTAAGAAATAAGATTAATACATTATGACATATAACATAATATGGCACATGACATCTAAGGTAGACAGTGGATCTAATTCTTTCAAAGTCAAAAATTTATCTCCAAGGTCCATATATATTGAAATAATTTCTGAGCTGACAATGATGGATGGCTCCATTAGTAGAATTCATTAGGTTTAGCCAAATGGTTCATGAATTGAGATATCCCAAGGGGATGGTAGCTGACGTTTATTACATTTATAAATTAAGTTTTGGAACACTTTTCAGAGAAGTGTGTAACTTTGGTATGTATGTAATTTTAATGGCTCACAGAATGCTTGATAATGATCTACTAGCAAATGCAACACTGGCCAAATACAAGAAGAACAAAGCCAATATACGCTATGAATTAATAGAAGGAATGGGCTGTAAAGGTTCTGGATTTGCCTGTTACATCAGCCATAACCTGATCACCCCAGAGAGGATGCCTCCATATAGTTGGCTATCAAGCTATCTTGATCTCCTAACTGTAGAAATCATTGAGAGGGGTGCAGAGGATTTACCATTTAACACAGTTTTGCAGGTGGGAAAAAATTACCACTGTTAAAAAGTCTCTGCAGCTTCTTGTTTTCCTGGACACATCCTTGAGGGATGAAAGCTGGAACAATTGCCTTGCAATCTTAAAGAATTAAAAATCAATTTGGTTAACTTAATTTTTTATATGATAATTTTCCAGTGTAAACTCAGGTTAAAATCAGGAGCACTTTGAATTAGTTTTGATATTACTGTAATAATTTACCAAAATGAATTCCATACTAACTATTATCATTCAGGAAATGTTCATTCCTGGACCAGTAACAACTCCTGCTCCAGATGATTATGAATACTGTGATTACTGTTTATTTGGAAAAAAACGGAAACGTGAAATACCTGAAATCTTTGTTAACCCTGATTGGGAAATTATTAGAAACTTAAACTCAACATTTAAATTACCCCCACCTAAGCAAATGCTGGTATTGTAATCTAAATAATTTAAAATATAGAGTTGTTCTCTAATTCCTTGTTAATTTAGAATTATGTTGTTGACACTAGAGAAAATTTTTGGCAATTGATATCAGAAAAATACAAAGAATACTCTTTGCTTTCTATCTTAAATTTTCAAGAATTCCAGAAACTTGGAGATTTTGTCGTTACCTTGGCAAGGTTTAATCTTCACATTAAAGCTACTGAAAGTTTTCTCACGTACGAACTGATTAAAGAAACAGAAAATGAAATACAAACTTTTCTCCGAATGTTGTTGCAAGAAATTACAAGTGAAAAGGACCTGAGTTGGAGTTTAATTGATGCAGTGGATATTCTAGTCATATTAGGTAAGAAAATGAAAATCCATGTAAAAATGTTTAATCAATAAATCATATACTTTCAGGAGGACAAGAAGTTATAGGAAGCAGAATTGCTCAATTTGGGGAAAAAGATCTTGGTCGCTCAAACAGTTGGCTAAGTTTATCTCAGACTGAGAAAGATTGCATTGCCAATGAGTATGAAAAACTCTTTAACAATCTCCCGGAATTTGTAGATCCCTGTATTAATCCTTCTTACATGTGTTCAAAATTCTGTAAGAACATGGCACTTCTTCAAAAGCATGCTAAAGATATGGATATTCAAAAACTTCTCAAATACATTTCACATCCTGCAAAATTTTCACATGGTAACACATGGACTGTTCCTTTTTGTTTCCAAGGACCTGATGTAAAAGAGTTGTTGCAAAATTCCAGGATGCCAAATTGGGATTCTGTTCCAAATGAAACATATTATGGCTATAAATTATGTCAGTCCGCTTACAATCGAGCTACTGATGTTGGATGGTGTACAACTTTCCATGATGTTCAAGACATTTTTCCTCCAAAAGGAATATCCAAGCCCTTTCGGGAGGGTATAACCTTAATATTAGATTCTTTTGCTTATTATCTTGTTTCTAAAGAAATCAGATCCTTAAGAGATTATACCAGAAAGGTAAAAATAATCATGGAATATATGCAATCAAGGGCCCTAAATCTTTCATTTAAATGATTTAACTTTTTATAAACCCTTTTGAACAGGGGGGACATTAATGGTTTTATGCTAATAAGCTTGTAATAACTTGAAGTCAAAGTGATAAAGTGTATCAGATAAAATGACTATTAGGGCCAAATGCTATCATTTGGTTTGTCAAAATTTCCAAATTATAGTTGCCGAGCCCTTATCGTAAAGAGTAAAGATTAAACTAAAAAAAATACAATTTCCAATGTTTTCATTTTAGAAACTTACTATTTAACAGACTAAAAAATATTCTCATAACCATGACATGATATGTATTAATACTCAATAGGCATATTTTAACTCTCTTTAAATGCTTTAAGCTTACAAAATTTACATTTTGTACTAAATTTCACAAGTTATCAAACTAAAAAGTGAAAATTAGAAGATTAATCTAGCAGTGGTGAATATACAATCAGACCAATGCAAGTTATTATATTTTTTCTAGGATACTGGAAAACAGTTTCCTGAAACAATGATAGATGAATCCTTCAACAACTTCTTTATAGTTCTTCATTCCAAAGATGATATTCCTTTGTTTCAAGGCCCTACAGACAGCAAAATTTCCCTGAAGTCAAAAATTGCTCGTTCTAACTATTTGAAAGATTATAGAATACCTTTCAGTGTTAAGGTTTTAGGGACTGAAAATATATTGGAGAAGTACAGTGTCTTCAAGAGAAGATGCAGGTTCAAGCATGAAATCGGTGAAATGAAGCTGTTTGAACAATATACAAAACAAAATTGTATTTTTGAATGTAAATTGAATATTGTGAGGAAGATCTGTGGATGTTTGCCCTGGTATCTTGAGATTAAGAACCAAAAAGAACCAGTTTGTAACTTATTTGGAAACAAATGTTATGAGCAAAGCACAATATATGCAAATGATTTTCTTGATTTTAGCAACCCTGACCAACCTTCTTGCAACTGTTTTCCGGACTGTGAGGTAAAAATAAATATGTAATGCTCATCCACATTTTAAACTTCACTACCCATCATAAAGAGCTATGCAATTTAGCTAGGATTTTCTGTGTACTAGTGCTGCATTGCATAATATTATTAGGATTGGATTTAACTAGGATAGGAAAATATCCACACATATAAATTAGAAAAGTTTGCATGGCACTACTGCACACATAAATTGCATGAAAAACTGTTTACTAGTAGTTTTGTCTGCTATTGGAACAATTGGGTCTAGAGTTCATTTATGTAAAAGTGAATTTAGGACCTGTAGCATTTTTTATGGAGCATTTCCCAGTTTACAGTTCAAATGAAGGGTGAAATTTTTTAAAATGTGTCTAAAAAAGATATCTATCAATTTGAACTTTGAACTTTGAAGGTGGGCACCCATTTTTTGTCTAAACTCAACTTCTTGACAGTGAGCTCACCATTATTATGTCTGACCACACCTTTCTTTAACATTGAATATTTTTTAGTCTGTTGTATGGTCTTTTAAAGGGTTTCTTAGAACCAAACTTCTTCAATTCTTGTAAACTAAAAGTTTTCTTATGACCCAGAGGATTTCTATGGGGTTAGGTCAATGACCCAGCCTCACATCAACCCCTTCGCATTGAAATAAGCAGCCAAGGCATTACATGAGGCTGCATCCTGTTGGAAAATGAGGGACTTCATTTAAACAGGGGAGAAACAAGATTCAAAGAGTTTACAAAAGGTGATTTCAACTCCTTCTGGTATTCTTATTTGTCCAACCATAGGGTTAAAAGGTCAAGTAAGGGAAACATTGTCGTGGTTAGGAATGTCTAATTATTTCTCATTCCCAGGGTGTAAGCTACATTCCCAATTTGGGACTTTCTAAAGAACCGGAGTTTACTCAAAATACAGACATGCTGAATCTGGATTCTAATAGTAACTATCAATATTGGAACAACTTGTCTATGGTAATTGAACGGAACCAGAAGAAATTTTTGTTTGACTATTTAGCAGACTTTTTTAAAGGTAAAACCAACAGATTTAAAATATTTTTGGTATATTTTTAATTTTAAACTTTAGAGAAGGAGAGCAAAATTTTCTATTTCTCAAATACAACTGGGAATCTGGACAATATGGTTGAAGAAATGTCATGTACTGAAGAGCTTGTTAATTGTTTTGTCAAGGACAGGGCTGCAAATCTTGCTTCAGTTTGGCTGGATTTTCAGGACAACTTCTTCATCAAGTAAATTTTAAACAATAGCAATTTTATCTTTTATTTAATCTTTAATTACTTTCACTCTGAATTTCTGAAAGTATAAGGGTAGACTGATCTTTGAATTTTTCCATAGGTAATTTTTTAAGGTAGATGCTTAAAATTCTTCAAGTATAACATTTTAAATGTGTATCCTTATTTTTAAATTTAATCATTCTGTAAAAAGATTTTTTATTGATAAAAACTTTTTATTTCTAACACAGGGAACAGTTAATTGACAGGGTAACTGTTGGTGAAAAGATATCATCTATAGGTGGAACACTTGGTAATTAAAACAAACATTTAAAGGAATAACAAGACATTGTGCACTTCTTGATCCATATGCGTAAGGTCAAAGTAATGGAGAAAGCTTTCAGTATTAGCTCATTAATAAACCTTACCATTATTGAACATACAATTGATATTGCTTTTTAAATAGATTTCTGTTGATCTTGTTTCCATTGAATTAGAATGCTCTTGTATTCAATGTTATTCAAACTAAAAACATTTTACAATCCTACTCTACCAACTGCCTTTTCTAACCTTCATTAAAAAATATGTATCCTAAAGGGACAGACTGGCTATGTAAGGTAGTTGAACTGAGTATGCAGTGTTGTGGACAAAATCTTTAGGATTCATTTGAGACATATAAAACTTTTCCACAATGTATAATTACTAAGTTTGAGTGCATAGTGGACGTTCAAAATCATGAATTTGGGTAGGTTTGTTTTCAGAATCTGTTTTTTAAAATTATTAAATAACGACAACAAAAAATAAAGTAAAAATTATACAGTAAACTAATTAGAGTTAGGAACATATTTCTTAAAAGAAATTTGTCAATAAATCAATGCTAGAATCAATTATTTCGTTTTTATTATTAAATTGAATTTCTTATTTTCTATAAATTTATTCGTAGATTTCTACAAATTCTTCAAATGTCATCTTTTCAATAAAATCTTTGTGAATAATGAGAAACTAGAATAATGAAAAAATAGAAACTAATAATTGAACAAGATTACTTATTTTCGATGATAAGATTAATTTTTAGTTTCTCAACCTGTTCCTAAACAATTAATTAGCTTACTGTAGAATTTTGTTTACATTTTTTGTTGTCATTATTTAATAATTTAAAAAAAAAACAATTCTAAAAACGTATCCACCCAAAAGTACAATTTTGAAGGTTGCCTTTGCGCTCAAACTGAGAATTTAAAGAGCTGTAAAAAGTTTTATATGTCTCTAATGAATCCTAAAGGATTTGTCCATAGCACTGCATACTCAGTTCACATACCTTACATAGCCAGTCTGTCTCTTTAAGTATCACAGGGGAGCTTTGTGAAAACCACTCTAAGCCACTAAAGCTCTCCTGCAGCCTGCTGCAGTACAGGGTGTCCCAAAAAACATGGGAATTCAGTGACGAATTCGATATCGTCTTTGTTATTTTACAAGTATCTAATTTACAAATGTTTTGTTAATAATTTATTATTGCTGCAAAAAACTATATTATTTAATAATTCATTTGATTTAGTGACTAATGAGATTTGATGGAAATGATCATATTTAAATAAATTCTTTATAATAACTTTTCTCACTTTGCTTTAAAGAATGACCAAGATGACAGCAAAACAATTGAAAAATCTCACCAGTCAATGCTGAAAATTTTCAGAAACATATCGTTAATGTTTTTTTTCACAAAGAATCTTTTACATGATATAATTATTTCTCCCAACATATATTCCAAGAAAATAGTTTAACAAAATAACAAATTTTACACACATTGATATTAACGTTATTTCCCCAAAATATATAGTGAAAAGAATTATATTAAGTTGATTATTATGTAATTATTAAATCTCAGATTTTTTCATCATTTTAGAATTTTACTGTTTGACCACTTTACTTCCAAAAAATTTAAATGTACATACTACAGAGTAAAACTTTGTTTTTTTTATGTTGAAAGTGTTCAATTTTGAAATGTGTACATTTCAAACAAAGATTTGCCTTTACAGTTATCTATATACTAAAACAAGAAATTCATATAAATGTTCCCTTTGGCCGGCCAAACGGATTGACTAAATGGGCTGAAATTTTTTGTGGTCACTCATGGGTAGCCTACGGGTGACAAAGGCTAAATATATTGAATTCTTAATTTTATCAATTTTTTTTTCCATGGGCAAGGTTGGGCCCTTCAGTTAGTTGATAATATATACTTATTAGGTTTATTCCTTGGGTTCTCCTTCCTAAGTATAGTTGATCTAACATACTGGGTTATGCAAACAATTGGGACAAGAATAAGAGTAATTTAGGTAATGAATTAAGTAACCATTTCAAATTGATTAACATATATACTTTTTCAATAAATGAAGCTTTGAGGCTTGTTTTAGTATTAAAATGAAACATTGCTTACTATACCTTGCAGGATAGTTTTATTCTTCCAAAATGAATATTTTAATCCAAAAACACTTAGCAGCTTTAACAAAAAGTACTTTTAATCTTCTAGATTAAGCGAGAAAAAGTTTTTCTTCTGTAAATAATCTTCAAAATATTTAAGGCGAAGAATGAAAGCATGGGATTGGAAAATTGCTGATTTAGATTCTGTAAATGTTAAATGTGTTCTTATCAATGTAGCAATTAAACTATAGATATTTAATAAATGTTTAAAAAACTTCTATTCATGAAATTATGAAAACTTTAAAAACTATGGTGTGAAATTTTTTTAGTTTTTGGATATTTCTTTTATATATGCAGGGTTGTTAATCGTTTTTAAAAACGATCAAAAAACAGTTTTTTGTTTCGTTTTTCTTTTTTTCAAAAAACAATAATTTTGTTTGAAAAAAAAACAATAGTTTTTGAAAGCGTACCACTCGTTTGAACTTTCAAAAAAACGAAAAACTTCTTTTTTAAAATAATCGAATTTTAAAAATGTGATAATGATCCATCCTGATCTATATGTAAACAAGAAGTATGGATTAATATATATATATATTCAATTATATACCTATATTTACCTTGCCTTGCAAGATGAGTAAGAATGGAAATAAAGCTAAATATCTAAAGGTCTCCGCATAAAAATATGTCTAAATAAATGCTAGTTGATTTAATTTCTATCATAGAACTTTTCAATTTAACTGAAAGTATACATAAATAAAAGTCATGTTGTGAATCTCATGATCATTGGTCTTCTAAATATATATCAAGCTATCACCAGTGAGCATCCGCCTGATGAATGTGTTAATACTTCTCCAATATCTTTTCAGTCCCTGTAACACTGAAAGTTAATCTGTAATCTTTCAAATATTGAGATTCAGATTTTTTGGACTTTAAGGAAATTTTTTGTCTGTAGGGCCTTGAAACATAGGAATGTTATCTTTGGAATGAAGAACTGAAACAAAGTTGTTGAAGGATTCATCTGTCATTGTTTGAGGAAACTGTACGTGACGGTAATACGATTATTACAAGCTCATTAGCATCAAGCCAATAATGGCATCACTGTGAAAAGTGGTTGATAAATAGTTATAATTTAAAGAAAAGGGCCCTTGATTGCATATATTCAATGATTATTTTACCTTTGTGGAATAGTTTCTTAAGGATCTGATTTCTTTAGAAACATGATAATAAGCAAAAGAATCTAATATTAAGGTCATACCCTCCCGAAAGGGCTTGGATATTCCTTTTGGAGGAAAAATGTCTCATGTTAAAAGAACTTTTTAAAAAAATCAACATTGTTAATATAGCACCAGTCACTGGATGTAATCCAGAGGACCAAAAGGTCGAACCTCCCTGTGTATAATAAAGGGATGGGTTGCTCCTTAGGGCTGGTGCTTTGAATGTAGGGGCGTACAAAGGGGGGGGCTCTTTTAAAATTACATCTGCTTGCATTTCCCTTCCTCAGGCAATCTACATTCTACATTGCATTGCATTGCACTCACCCAATCTAAAAGATTAAGGAAAAAGATAAAATTTATTCTGATCCGGAACAACACCCTTTAAAGCTTTGTCTGATCAAGTATTGCATTAAATATCCATGTTTCCCATTTTGGAAATCTGATTATTTTTATTTGTGGTTTCTCTACAAAAGTGATTTGTGCATTTCTTGCTTCAGAAACGATGGAGAAATGAAGGTTTCAAAGTTACATCGGACATGCCACTCTATAAATTAAGGATCACTTGAAACTACTCATGTTTTCATTAAAGTAAAATTACATCGTATAAAAAATACTTTTGCCCTTAACTAAAAAAGTTTCATTAAAAAAGCTTTAACTTCAGTATAAATATATATTTGATATCATAAGTTATAAAACAATATGTATCGATCCTATGAAAATATAGATACTTTTAAAGAAACGTTTCCATCTATATTTTTCACCCATTGAAGGAATTATACACCACAGTATTAAGAGGGATTGTCTGATGAATCCACACAAGAAAATTACATAAATAATTTATTAACACTAGTGTTATAGAAGTGTGTATATGATTGAAAAGTTTATTAAGGTTTCAATATTTTTTTAAAAAAGGGATTTTTAATGGGGGGCACAATGTTCCAAGGGAGTGGGGCGCAAAATTAGCCCCCCCCCCCTACAAAACAGCTCTCATATGCCCCTGATTGTATGGGAGCTTCCCATCCTGTGGGCAGTTTTAGGTACATGGGAAAATGGGAATGTGTGGAAAACCAAAGCCACCATTGCCCCAGATCTTATTTTAAATTCAAGCCAATAGGCCTAGAAGGAGAACATAGGATCAGCCTGGGCTAAAACCGAAATGGAGTCTATTCACGAAGAGTCTGAAGACGGAAGATTAACTCGTCGTAGACGAGGTGAATGAAAGGCTCCGGCTTTCCATGATTCATAAGTATCATTTTTACTTGTTTATTTTCTACTTGTAAATACATTTTTTCCTATACTCTGTAGATTTACTCACATCAGTTTTAAGGCTTTAGATTTCCTTTATTTCATACCATTTTTTAATGGTAACAATATATAGAAGATGAGTAACATTGATAACATTGATATTTAATAACATTTTATTATTTGGCATTAGAAGAAACGTCACATGGATTTAGTAAGATATTATAATTATCAGATGTTTTCTATTTAAAACTTCTTGATCCCCTTTAAAAATCAAATAATAAATAATATAAGGTATTTTTGTTTTTAAAAATCAAATAATATAAGGTATTTTTGTTTTTAAAAAGTATGAGATTGAAATTTTAAAATCGAACAGACAGAAAAAAAAGCGTTTTCATGCAACAGATGCAAATCCTTGTTTTGACCATTTAATCTTGAGAAACAAGTCTTTGAAAGGAATTATTAACGTAATTAATATTTCAAACGTTTAAGAGATTTTATCATATTTAATAGCGTGAAATATCACAAGTTTCTAGTATGTAAAAATGAAAGAGATGTCTTCCAATTGAATTTGAACGGCTTTGCACAAAAAAAATATCCTTCACCATGATTTTTAATTGGCATTGATTTCTACGATGAATTCATGTTACATTGAACACTTTTGGAAAATATTGTTGAGTATTAAAAATATATGATAATACATTGTTAAATACATTTAGATCTTTAAGAAGACATTGATATGCAGTAGAAAATTAAATGCAGTTTAAATACAATAAGTTGATTTCAGAGATCTCTAGAAATTAGTTCTAATTTCTACCACTAGGTGTCAATAGACTCAGGCTGTATCTCAAAAATTCTGCCATGATGACAGTTTTCAGATCCTCTAGATGAACCACCACGAAGATCAACTCTACAGTAAAAGAAATGTTAAATTGATAAATGGAAATTTTCAAAAATAGCTATTTTTGGTCAAGTCTGAATTTTGGCAACCCTTGCTTTTCCGAGTTTGGAAAATTCGGAAGACCTCATATCTAATGCATAGGAGATCCCCCAATTCTCATCGAAGACCCAAAGCCAAGCTTCTGTAACGCTATTTTTGTTGGATTTTATGGCCCCCCTGTACCTGGCCTGTCTAACAAGTATAGAGTATAGTTCTTCATCTAAACTATCCTGTTTCTGAAGTTCAACTTCAAACAGGGATTCCCGAGCTAGCATCTTCTCGCGTTGAATCTGAAATTTTTGATGCATAGCATATTTGATTAATTGATTGTTCTGGCAGTACTAAAAAATTGATTGATAACTTTTGCTGTAATTAATTGATTACTTTACCCATAATTAATTGTTTGATTGATTGATTACTTTACCTGTAATTAATTGATTATTTTACCCCAGGCCCGTAGCCAGGGGGGGGGGTGCAAGGGTGCAGGTGCACCCCCCTTTCTTCTGAAAGAGGGGTGCAATGACGAATTTGCACCCCCCCCCCCTAGTCCCATACAAAAGATATTGTTTTCATAAGTTTCTAAAATCTAGTTATAAATTATATAGCCCGAGTAAGAATTGATTTCCAAACCAAATTATAATCTATTTGTGCGTTACTCATTAAAAGTGTGACGGAGTTTTTGTGTACTCTCTCAACTCATCCCCTGAGTCATGTCTCTCCTGTGACCTACAGGGTGTCCCAAAAAAACATGGGAATTCAGTGACGAATTGGATATCGTCTTTGTTATGAATTAGCTTTGTAATACCTAATTTCTAACGCCATAATATCATTATGTCTGCTAGAGTTTATTTTATGAAAAGTGTAAAAGATTGTAAAGATGTGTCTATAATGTCTATGCAAGATGAACAGCGAAGACAGACAAGTTCACACTGTTTGTATACTGCAATTTTCTTGTTTTACGAAGTACAACGTATGCAGTCAAAACATAAACAAACAAAATGTGAACATAGCAGACGAAACTCTTATAAGATTACAACTTTCTCAGTAGGTATCACTATACTAAATCAAAGAATTATTTAAAAAGACGATATCGAATTCGTCACTGAATTCCCATGTTTATTGGGACACCCTGTATCGTAGGCTAACTAACAGTTTATCAGTACACTCTGTTGATTAAATATAACACAACATCAAAATTTACTAATAGTTGTTTAAGTCTATTTAAAACAGTATGATTTATTAATTATAAGCATAGAGTCCCATGGAAATGAAATGGTAATCTCCTGTACATTTTCAGAATTTTAGTCCCCCCCCTTTGAGGCATTTCCATAGCACCCCCTTGACCCTTGATACCAGGCACGATATGAGACCAGTGTATATGTGTTTATTGTTCCTTTGTCATTTGTAAATTTACAACCTTTTTGTAAATTGATATTTCATACGTGAATAGATTGAAAAATAAACATGTATATTTTGTGAATTATTAACAGATAATTGAAAATGCATTAGTGTAAACTGCGATTATTTTTTTTGTTTTGTAAATTGTAAATTGTAAATGCCTAAGTATCATCAATATTTTGTTTTGAGTCGGCAAAAATAATTNGTATCATCAATATTTTTTTTTGA